AATATTGAATTAATTGCGTATTAGTTATGTAGGGTGGCAATATTCAAGGGGTGATCCATTGTACATGTTGGGGTTGCAATGTTTAAAGAATGGGCTAAGTATTAAATGTATAGGGGTGATAGTATATGGATGGGTGGTAGTTGTAAAATTATTTATTAGAAGTGACAATGTTGAGGGGCTGGGCCATTATATATTGGTGGTGATTAGGTTAGAATATTTTGGTACATATTGTTTTGGCTTCAAATTGGCAATGGGCAATATAAGTTGTTGTTTTTTACGAATAGACTCATGTCTCACCGATATTCACTCCCTACATACCACAATGCGTGATCTACAGAGCAGGTAACAATTAGCTGAAAAGAGGTTGTACCATTCATTCTGTCATCCGATATTGTCATTAATGGAAACCAAACAAACTAATATAGTCAACCATACATGCATAGTATCGACTCAAATGAACAATGAGTTCTCCACCGGATTACAGTTATAAATGCTAAACGCCTTTCCCATGTATTATTACCACTACAGGCTATGAGCCGTGGTTGAACACAAGTACCGGCTGCACTTTTCCTAGTCCTTGGACAGATGCATCCTACGCACCGATGCCACCAATGACGAATTCACCTCATCCTCTATTACGACCTTTCGATGACTACGTGGGTCAGTATGGGCACTACGCTTTCGGCAACTTCACTGTGCTATACGATGAAATGAATAACCAGCTGCGGTACGAGTTTGGGTTCCAGTTACAAGGCACGTTGTCCGCTTCGGAGGATTCCGACTTAACTCTGTATATGAGAGTTGATGACCCCGTAGCGTATAGGGAATACTTCTATTCCACGTCTTTTCCTTATGGATGGCCCGTCTATTTTAAGGCTGATGATAACAATAATATAATTAACGTCTCTGTGCCATATCTTGAAAACGATTGGCCTTTCATGTTTATGCGTGATATTAAGATGAGTGATGCCCCAATGTCTCCACCTATACACGATAACTGTGAGGTCAATAACGCAGGGCGCATCGAACTATTCTCAGTTGCGTTTGTTTATTTCCACGTGGTGTTTATGGGAGAATGGCGTACATTGAGTTTGGCTTGATATCAACATGTGACGCAGACAATAAACATATATCCCTTACAACTGATAGTTAATTTATCCGACAAATTATCCATTTCCTGCGATTTTTCGTAAATTTGACACAGCACTAAATGCATTCTTCATAGAGACAACGATAAATCATAATCAAAAATATTAATTATCTATGTATATGATAAATCATAATCAAAATTATTAATTATCTATGTATATGATAAATCATAATCAAAATTATTTATCGTAATACAGCAACAATTTTAAAAATTACCTATTATCATCCATATTGAAAATATGTCTTTATTACACTAAAATATGAACTATTAGTTGTTTCCGGCAAGTGTATCTACTGTATTATATTAATTGTTGTATTCTATTTTTATCGGGTAATAAAGATGTTTGAACTATGTTCAGCTCAAATTATACATTTATCGCGGGGATCGGAGTAATTTGGTTCAAAATGTACCTACGCAGCTTCCTGCACACGAGCCCAGTTAACTATGTCAGTGTCGTGTGTGTTTTTTGACCGAGTATATCATCAAATCTCCCATTTTATTCAGCCTCGTTCGCAGCTTGTCGTGTACAAATCTCTATGGAATGGAGTTTTGGTGATAAATCATATTCAAACAAGTCTCTAAATTGTTTGTAAGAAAAGCCTGATTATTTCAGGACATGTATGGTTCAAGGCGGAAATAACCAGGCGATATACCAAAATAATAACCTCTGGTAATTTCTCCTTATACAAAAATGTAAAAAAACTAATATAAGAGTAATGAACTCATATAGAATGTTCTCATAATAAAATATAGTCGATGTTGTATTTGTTCGTTCATCCGACATTGTTTCTGACTCTTGACACAGAGCATTTGTTTTGTAATTTAAGTTGTCTGAGATTGAGACGAATTTAATGTGGTTGGAACTACAGCCATATTATTACATGCATATTATCACCTGTACTTTCGCCACCATTCTTTTTCATCCGCCTGTATAATTATTAAACAATAAACTTACGCACGTTTATCGCAAATTGCTGTAATTAATTACGCATGTTGCAGTAAAGAAGATTTGCATGGTAAGATTAATATTTTTCAGTTTCATTTGGTCAGACACAATCTGACCGTGTGAACAGCAAACTCTGACGTATTATCATTCTGACGTCACGATGTTATCAGCACGTCTGTTCCCAATATTATATATCCGCATGGCTGGCTGTCATGTTGTCGCTGTGTGCTCCGGTAGTTATTTTCAATTTGTATGAAGCGAGGGTGGAAAGGTCAAACTACTGACATACAGACAGTCACACATTTTATTTATGGAATCGTGTCAGGTGACGTAATAATTTAGTCCAAAATGTCACTTAGTTCGCCGTATTGTGAATAGTTAATCGTGGTATGAGCAGAACGACTGTCTGATATACATACCTACCAAAAAGCAATTTTGCTAAATTTAAAGTACCATGGCATCTAGAAAAAAACGATATTGCTGTTTTTGGTAAATCTGAGTATGCACGGACTGGTGACATTACACCATGCCTAGACATTTCTTACGGAATACAACAAAAATCGCATTTACCAAGCAAGCATACATTTTATAGTTTTGTTTCACGTCACTACACATGTATTCAAATTACATGGTTATTGAATGAATCATTTTTACTGAAACCTTGTGAATATATTAGTGCTAGGGTTTTATGAA